GGCGTGAACGATACAGTCGCCAGATTGGTAAACATCCAACGACACGAGTAGCCCCATGCGTAATAAGAGCGTGGTAAAGTATAATATAACTGATACGGCCATCGACTCGCGAACGCGCGCAACATGAGAGAATGGACGTTCCGGCAATTCGGCCTTGGCAGGTGGATAATATACCACTAAGCCACGCGACTTTCATTTATTAATGAAACCGACGTGACGTTAATGACTGGTCCAGCGAGTCAGCGAGGCATGAGTTCGCGAATTCCGCTAAACAGGAAAAATGGATACATCCGCGCGTGAGATCGCACGCGGGGAGGCACGCTCAAAAATTCGGGAGAAAGCAGGACTCGTTTCGATCTCTGTCAGAAAATTTGTCGGAGCCGTGTCGCAACGCGGCACGTTTCACGTAATAGACAGATAGGTTGGCGTGTCAGTCGCCACGAGCCGCGCCGGATAGATTCGCGTGTACGCGGCGATTCAGTCACCATCGACGCGAATAGATTCGCGAGCGGCGAAGATTGCATTTGTCGATCATCATCGACGCCAGTAAAATGGATCGATCGATCGGGGAACCGCCTCGACTTAGAGATCGCGTCACGCGTGTTCCGTTTCTCCGTGACATCCAACACGCTTGTTCAAATCTATAAAAAGTGCGCGTTCTTTTTGCATCTCTCGCGCGTGGATTATACAACAGCTTTTACCGATTGCGTTACTGTATACAGTAACCGGCACACCGGTCGGCCAGACGAACGGCTACTTCGCTCACTAGATTTACGCATGATTCCATAAGAAACGTATATTGCATATTACCACAACAGTAATGTTAATTGACCGTATGACTCGCGATCCGATTTGTATCTTGCCTGAAAGTTGCCCGCAATTAATCTAAAACAGTTTGCGTAGCTTTCTAACGTTCTATTATTTATAAATAAGCGTTTAATTAAAAAAAAAGTCAACTTTTTTTATAGGCGAAAATTTAAATTTATATGCAAAAATTAAATTTATATGCGCGACAGAAAAATTCTAAGAGTGTATTACATGCTCCTTGAAATTCCTAAAATAAGGTAACTGCACCAAATATGACCTATTTGCTGTTTACAGGAAATTACATAGATAGTTAAGTTTTCATTGCATTCATGTAAATATTAAATATTATTCATGTAAATTATCTCATATTTTCAATTAATATTCAGAGATGTTTTATAAATCTAATCGTCAGTTTCCAATGTTGGAATAAGGTGAATAATAAATTGAAAATTAAAGATCCGAGAATTAGATACTAATTTATCATCAAGTAGTATATCAATTCTATTTTATTAGTAATTACGAGTAATTATTAAAAAGTAAGTAATTAAATGAGTTATTACGAGTAATTAAAAAAAAATTATGAAATACTTTTTATGCTCTTGTTTTTTGCCTTGCTTTTTTCCTTTGAAATTAACTTTAATTGTTTGTAATAACAATCAAAAGTATCACGTGATAATAATTTGCAATTTCCTCGCATTTTGAAAATTAGATCAATATTAAAATTAGATTATGTATTAATACATAAATTAGAATTAAAGGAATACGTAAAAATATTTGTTTATGTTTAATAGATTACATCAGTTAGTTCAATCAATTTGATATCCAATGAAAGCGAACGAGTCTTTGACGAAAATCCATTGAAAACAGGTAAATCTACCAAAATCAATTAAAATATTTGTGTTGAATATTTAAACAAATCATAAATATAATTAATATATTGTATAATATATAATATATATTAATGCATATTAATGCATTAATATATATATTACATGCATTGAATATTATAACATAATTAAATAGGTACAGATGTATCGAAATCGATCGTGTAATACTGTAATATGATTTGTCGCTAAAACGAATTTCTTGAAGCACAATAACAAACATTAATTACTTAAGTAGAGGTTATACAATTGTCGATATATATAGCTAATCATAAATAAAATCCTTGAAAAAACTATTTCACGCTCGCGGAAGCTAAAGGAAAATTGCACATCGTTCTCCATTGTAAGGTAAATATCTACCGATACATTCCATTGAACAAGGTTTTCTCGCTGACTGTGTCTTATGTGTTTTTTGTGTTTGCAAAATATTTCGCAATGCTGACATTTTATTTCTCGTAGTACAAATTAAACAAAATATGCCGAAAATAAATAATCATAAATCTTTTTTTTCTTTTACTCTCTTCAGACCCTGTGTACATTAATGTACACCAAATTTGAAAATATTATATTGAAATTAATTAATCTTATTGATGTCGTCTGAGAGATTAAAAGTACATTGTAATGTATATATTGAAAAATAGTCAAAATTTTGAAAAAATTAATTGTTTAGTGTAAATTATTTATTAAAGTGCTCTTGAGTTGAATTAAAAAATTTCTTTTTTAACATGGTTCCAATAAAATCAGGTCTGAAGAGATTTAAAGAATTCGACACTGAAAAATAAATAATTATTCAGAAAAGAAGAAGCGTAAAATCATCATAAGAACATTTTTTATCACAAATAATATATGTCATTGAGATTGAAAATCGTTAATTTATAAAATTAAGTATATTTCAAAGAAACAACAAATCATAATACTAGACAATAGCACGTTATTAGAATTTAATAATACATACAGACACGCAATTACCATGTCATAATATATCGCATAATTAATTATTATTCAAACAAATCTTCATCACGCAATTTCATATTTTTTTCATAGATCTAATAACGTATGTGCGGTAAAAAATTACTTCTCTTATTATAAATTAGAACAATATAAAACAACAAGAAAAATAACATTATATTCACAATGTTATTTTAGACAATAAATTTATTTTATCATTGAATTAACATTTATAGCAGTAAATTAATGTTTTCTGAATCGTGTCAATTTTTTTAGTTATATATAAGCAATAATATTTAAATAATGATAAATTAAATAATAAAAAAAAATCAACTCACTGAGAAATGAACAAATCTCACAATTCTTGTCAAAAAGGAAGGAGCGCAGGAAAAAAATTTCCTTTTTTTAGTGCGAATAATGCATCATGAGGAATAATGCTGGAATTTCGATCATGGATGGCATTCGAGACATAGCGTGTTACGTGTCACTTATCGTGCGATAATTAATCTTACCACACTATTGTATGTTGCGTCATGTTATATAATATAAATTGCGCGCGATGTACATACAGTGACGGGGTTTTGTTGTGAAAGCTGTATTTACCTTATTTCGGAATAGTATCATTTAAAGCCAAAAACAAAAGGCGTAATCTGTAATTAATGGACACAGTAATACGATTCACGTTTTTATTAATACATAGAATATACGTTTCTTGTAACAAGAGAGTGCAAGAAAGAAATGAAAAAGAAGAGGCAAAGAAAGAGAGCAGGAAAAAATTCAAATTTTCGTTCTTAATTCGACTACATTGTTCAAAAATGGTTTTTGCTGAAATATTTAAAAATTTAGATATTACAAATCTGAAAATAATTTTGTTGAACTAGTATAGTTATGTAAAAAATTCAAGCATTATTAATGCTGCAAAGATTTTGATATTCTGGCAAATCCAGTGTAAATATCTTGCATATATAATTAATTCTAATTAATTCTGATAATCCAACAAAATTATTTTTAGATAATATACAGTTATATTTTTAAATACTTTGGCAACGGTTTTTCCTTTTTCGTTTAAAAATTGTCAACAATTAAAAGGCAGTAAGCCATATTTATCATCATCAGTAAAAGAAAGATAAAGAAGCAGATAATTAGGTAATAATTAGGGAATACTTTAACGAGCATTTAAAAACATATTTGTTTCACGCTAAGGCGCGTAAAAAGCTAAGGAGCATCATCATCACTGTCCAGTTTTCCGATCACGGGCAGATCGCCGGGTGGTAATCGTAATAATCACGGAATCCCCCGCTGACGCATTTACGGCGTCGAACTGTCGACTTGTTATGTACGAGCAATCCATCCGCCTTGCTAATCGCACAGCGAAATGAACGCATGCAGAGAAGCGCGACGACGCGGCTCGCATCGGGAAGCATTGACTCAAGGCTTCCTTCAATACATAAGGATGGTTTAACGACTATAAATACGTTCATTAAATGCTCCCACGAGTCTGTCGCGAATGAGTGGAACGTGAATCGAACTTAAATCGCGCGCTCGTGATTCATAAGAAACGAAGTGCGGTAAGAAGGAAGGAAAGAAGGAAGGAAGTAAAGAAGAAAAAAGGAAGAAAGATATATTTTGTATGGTTCTTGAACGATACCGAGTGATTGATTGATAAAAATAATTGAATCAATAAAAAATAATTGAAACGTTCAGTTGTGCGTTAGTCAGCCACTCTGCTCGAAACTATTTCGATATTTCAATTTACGACCTTACGAGCATTGAAATCCAATTTTATAGAATTTTTTTATTGACTATATCAATAACGAAGACACGTAAATCAATACAATTGGAACAACGGGTTCGTATCTCGATTTAGAGACAAATAAGATTTTCTCGGTATCTATAACATCAAAAATTGAACACACCGATATTGCATTAACTCTTGATGTCTGATTTCATTAACAAAGAAGATAATGTCTTCACAGAAAGATCTATGCACTTTTTTTCCCTATGATATGACATAACATAAAAATTGATATAATATAAAAA